TTTTAAAATTAAAAAAAACATGGATATTTCAATTTATAAATATACGATGCTCCGCCTAGTAATGATTTACTGTGAAAGTTTTTGCTTTTTTCCTCACCACTTACAGTGGTTCTCAAAAATATTTTTTTATTCTTTTTCTTGTTTTTTTTTTTTACTTTGTAAAGAATCTTGCTCCATTACAAGGCCTAAAAATTGTACTCTCAGAATCCTAAATAAATTTCGTTCAAACCCAACATTTTTTTTTTTTGGGTTTTCACGAATCCTATGTTAAAACGGTTTGACTTCCCCGGAATATGAATCGGGAAAGAAGTCAAATTGGTCGATGAAAGCTATCCATCGGGCGATGGTGCTATTGATGGTATCTTGGGTCTTCTAGAAGACCAAGGGATTGTTATTCGTTACCCATCGGAATTGGCTTTGACCAACAGGAAGTGCCGCCACCGCTTGAGCGCGTGGACGAAGGCGAGGAGCTCCTTCTTGCGTGCATCATCAATGGAGTGCATGACGGGTAATTTCTTGTCGAAATGCTCGACCAGGTGCCAGTCCACGCCATCGTGTTGTTCGAGGACGACACCAATGCCATAACCATACGCATCCATAGTGACGTGCGTAGGGAATAGTGAGTCGTAGATGCACAAGACCTCCGCAGATAATAGTGCGGCTTTGAGAGCCAAGAATGATTCCCGCCTATGAAACACCCACGGACGAGTCCGCGGGGCCGAGCTCGGAGGGCGGACGTATTCACGGCCGCCTCCGCGACTTACCGGGTCCGCGGATTTTACCAGATTTTTCCTGAATTAAATAATAGGCCAAAAAAAAAAAAAAAAGGGTTGTAGGGACTTTTAGGCCCTATGCAAGTTCTGCGCTCAGTAGAAGTCTTGCCGGGTGTGCCAACCTTTTAGAGACGCTTTCCAGACCGTCTATAAACATTTCTGGTTGGGAGTTTATTGTGATTCTGGCTGTGATCGTCGTCCTGACTGCGACGTTAAAGAATTCCTGAAGAGATGGGGGCGCTCTATAAATTCCTCCTGATCAGCCAGATCACATGGACTGTAAGGCTCGTTGCCGTACGAGGGTAAATAAGAGTGGACTGGTTGGCTTGCTCGGCTTTGACTTGGGCATAGGGGTGGGCCGATACACACACGAATACACTGCTCTGCTCAAGATGCTTACCGGATGGTTGGATTGAGGGGAAGGGTAGGTTCTAATTGTGCTCAACTGGAAACACAACCATACCCACTGATCATACATCTGCAACATAGTCTTGTTTTATTATTGATTAGTTGATTGACAACTGCTAACACCTCACAGACAGATTAGAGTAGGACTGTTGTATACTACCATATCCAGTTCTATCTAATGCTGCTGTAAGTGAGCTAATCAATGTTAGGATTAGATTATGTGTACAGTCTATGTGAATAATGCTAGACGATCGCTTGACCGTGGTGAAGATACCTGTCGGACACATTCATTTCTTAGAAAATCAGGTGCCGGTCAGACACATGCTGTGGTAGGACTCCACTAGGGGGTTGTAGTGCAGATAATGTTTGCCTAGTTGTAGAGTGGGTCAGACAACGATGAGGGTAGAGTTGACGATGAGTGACTCACGGTCGGAACTAAAGAGAGTTCCGCTTGTGTTTTAGATTCTAGGTACGGAAGTCAAGCGACGGCTTAGGGCCGGAGAAAGAGCTCGTGCACGAGCAGCAGTTGAGAAGAGCAGGGAAGTTGCACAGCTGGTAGCAGCAGCTAACGTAGCACCTAGAAAGGCCGCCGCAGCTGCAATGGCTACCCCAGCAGCGTCCAATGCTGCCTTCTCATCTGGGACCTCGTCAGGGACACAGTTGGGAATGCTCACCTGGTCCCCGGGCATCTCTAGTACTGTAGTTTCTATTGTCTCCATCAGTCAAATGGCGGGCTTGCATGACAGGACAACAGCCATCGCATGCGTGCACTACTGCCTGTGGGTTGGCATGGTGACCGTGACCCAAGTTCTTCGACCAGGACCCTTCAAAGGCACCGCCCTTACACCTTCCAGATTGCTTCCGGGAAGATTGTCGTCTCTCAAGGTAGCGCACTCACGACACCTCACCAAGGAGAGGACTCTCAAGTTGGACTCACTTCCTCACAGTAAGAAGAGATTGAGAAGGTAGATAAGGTAAAGGATCAACATACCTGGAGATAGTTTCCCCCAACCACAGATTTTCTCACCAATTGAGCTGATGTTGCATTTGATGACCGGTCATGACCTCGGTACCACCCACAACGCAATGCAGTGCCACCTTAGTCCAATGCCACATCAGCATGCTCTCATCACCAATCATACATTCCGCCTGTCACCACGGCTAATAATGTCGTCTGTAGCCTTCCGGCGCACCCCTCTCTACCCAGGGCGTGCGCCTAACATTGGCCTGACGTCACAAGTACCCACTGCGAAGAAGCATCGTCAACGCACCAAGTCTGTATAACGCCAGCATGCCGAAGGTAAGTGGCGATCAAACCAGCTCCGATACCAAATTGCAAGGAACATAAGTATGGACAAAGCACAGAAATCTAGAATGCAAAATCACACTGAAGTCCAAGTAGTCAAAGCCAAAGCAGATAGCACATGGAACCGAGTAACCATCCAATTGTGATACAGAAGAATCGTGAGTCAATGTCCAGGCCCAACGGGGCAACACCAACAGCATAACCCAAATGTAGCTCTCTCTTGTGAATGGCGCTAGGCGCCCTATCTACTCTACAACATATCCTACAACTACAACAATGAAAAACAACTAGACAACTTGACTACCAGCGAGTGATGATGTCAACACCAATGCCGATCTCCACCATCATCAGGTATGTATCCTCTTCCCCACACTCTCCCTTGTTACCCACACAGCGCCCTTCACCTCCGAAGTACCACCTTCGCCCTCACCTCCCCTGCACCCTCACGCGGCCCAGGCTATGGCTGCCAGTGCCCTCAATGCAGGCAGCGCCCTACCGCCTAGTGCTGGCCTGCTTGCTCTTAGTGCAGCACTGCCTTGCACAGCGCAGCACACATGCATCCGCGCAGCGTGCCCGCAAGTGCCAGCGTTGGCCAAGATCGCTGCTGCCTCACCCTGCTTGCCTATATGCCAGTGCAGAGATGTGGGCGGCCTCCCTTCAACCTGTGACCGGGGCCCAGAGGCTGAAGCCAACCCGATACAGTTGGGCCCCGGGGCAATGCAGTTGCGCCTCCTTCATCAAGGCCTGCGGCCAGATTCAGACAGTGGGCCGATTCCCCTTTGGCATTTTCGGCCTCTCTACCCAGCGTGCATTGTCGGCCTCACATTCAAGTGCCCAAGGCCTAACTAACTCAGAGGCCCTGGGCATTTCAGCAATCGCTGAAATCCGAGACTCGGTGCACTCCAACCAACTGGCGTGCTGCAACTGTATAGACCCCACTTCGTGAAATGTTGGCATAGAGGGCTCTTGTTGATTTGCTGGCCCGCCTTCACTTAGGGCGGGCACTAGGCTTGATGGGGCCTTAGCCCAGAACATGTACATCATGGCAAGGCCCCTTCTTGAGGGCTCAATCCTCACACCTACAACCCCATTTTTTTTTTTTGGAAATCCGACTTTGGTTAGGATTTTTAATAAATCAAAAACTAAATTCGATTTAAAGAAAATTAAAAAAATATATATTTAAAGAAAAACTGGAATTCTTTTTTGTCATTTTTTATCATCAGATATATGGTCCCCGAGTTCACCTGTATTTATTAGAAATGAACTTCTCTTTTTTGCAGGGGTATGAGGTGTTTTAGAAAAATAAAGATGCAAAATTTGAAAATAAATAAACAAAAAACTTGAAAAAAAAGGTTTGATCGATTGATTGATTGATTGATTGATTGATTGATTGTGTGTGAGTGTGTGAGTGTTTGAGTGTGTGTGTGCGTGTGTGTGTGTGAGAGAGAGAGGTGTGTGTGTGTGTGTGTGTGTGTGTGTGTGTGTGTGTGTGCGTGCGCGTGCGTAGGAGCTGCCGGGAGCTGCGGGGTGTTGCGCGCGCGCGCGTGCGAGAGAGAGAGAGAGAGAGAGAGAGAGAGAGAGAGGTGCGCGCGCGCGTGCGGAGAAGCTGCGAGGAGCTGCGCGGCGCTGCGGGGAGCTGCGGGGGGCTGCGCGGAACTGCGTGCAGCTGCGCGCGCGCATGCGAGAGAGAGAGAGAGAGAGAGAGAGAGAGAGAGAGAGAGAGAGAGAGAGAGAGAGAGAGAGAGAGAGAGAGAGAGAGGTGTTGCCCCCGCTGCGCCGGCGCGCTGTCCCCGCTGCGCCGCGCCTGGGACCGCTGGTTTGTGTGTGTGTGCACCCGTGGTCGCGGGGGTGGGGCGACCCCTCCCCCACCAACCAATCAATCAATCAATCAATCAATCAATCAATCAATCAATCAATCGCGGGGGTCTCCCGCACCAGTCAATCAATCAATCAATCAATCAATCAATCAATCAATCAATCAATCAACGGAAAAAAAAAAAACGATGAAACTAATCAATCAATCAATCAATCAATCAATCAATCA